TGCCAAGTTTTTTCTCCTAACGTTGTAGGTGCCATGTTATTCTTAACAGATATTAAATCACTCAGGCAGGATCTGTTCATGCAGTGACAGTTTCCTTCTACATACAGCTCATTTCATTGTATGGCATTAAGGAAATTCCCTGTAGACTTTTCACTGGGTGATACCGCTAAGTCTTAGAATTTACAATATTTAAATCTGAATCCCTGAAATACAACTTTTATAAATAATAATTGAGTGGTCTACTGTGTGCTAGGCAATATGACCAGTCATTTTTGAGGGGCAAGAGAGATTCAGAAATAAGTGAGACCAGTTCCCTTCCATCTGGAGCTAGTCATACACGCACATGAGCTGTAGGGCCATACTAAAGATGTAGATCAAGTTTATGGGAGTGCATGTGTGGGTAGAGCCAGGTCTAATTAGGAGGGATCATACATGATTCCACAACAAGTCATGTTTGAGCTTGGCCTTGAGGAATGAGTGGAAAGCCAATAGATAGAGAAATAGAGGAATGGCATTCTAGACAAAGGGAAAGAATGGCATTAATAAAGGCACAAAGGCATATATGGTCCTAAAGTGAAGGATGACAATGAAGTCATAGTAGTGATGGAATTGTGGAGAATTTTAAATGCCACCTCAAGTTATTTGCTGGTTTTCCTATAGGCAAGGTAAAATCATCAAAACTTTTCCAAGGAAGAAAATTTTGCCTGAGGAAGGCAAATCTGCCACCAGAAGAGGAGTAAACAGTTAGGATTGTTATTACACCAGTCCAGCCAAGAGGTAAAGGACACAAAGCAGAGCAGCAGCAATGGGAATGTAAGGAGAAGGTCCTGGATCATGGACTGGAGAGCAGTGAATGAACTTCAAGGTCCTCTGAAGTTTTAAGTTTGAGCAGCTGCCAGGATAGTGGACACCAGAACACAGAAGTGGAGATTAGGAAAGGTGTCACTCTGTGCTTCAAGTAACATTCTTACCTTTTATCTGTATTGAATTCCTACTCATCTTTCAAGTGCTGGCCAAAATGACATCCTGTCTATGAAGCCCGTCCCAGTACCCAATCAGAATTAAATATGACTTCTGTTTTTGTTGTACAACACCTCCTGTATACCTCCTTTTCTGTACATAGCAGCACCATACTTTGTGTCCAGGTCATTTGGGTACAAGTATGACTCTTGCAAATATTAGGTCATTGTAAAAGTCATGACGTGTTTTCCTATACAAAAATGCATCATCGGGAACCAGCAGTTTGCGTAATGGCTATGTCGCTGGACTCCCACGTAGTCGACCGTGGTTCGCGTCCTGGACCCGGTGGCTTAAAACTCACGCCGGGCGCATGTGCATGTGTGCCCAAGATCCCAAGAGGAGAATGGAGGAGAAGGGATTGCGGTGTGACCATCCCCCCTGGGGGATGATTTCTCGCTTTCTGTCTCTCTGTCTCTGTCTGGCTGGCGAGCGCACATGCCCTATAGCGAAAACCTCTCAAAAAGAAAAAAAAAGAAAAAAAAATGCATCATGACTTTTCTGGGGACCCAATACATGATAAGTGATCTGAAGTTTTGTATGATTTACTTGTGATTTTTTAGCACCACCCAAGCACATCGTGGATCATTAGAAAATGTGTATTGAATCAATCAATGAATACTGCTATCACACAAAACAATAAATGCAGCTGTGTTTTGGAATCCCCACCCCCAGAACACATAGTGATCCCATCTCATAATTCCGTTGTCAGCCATGCATTGTTTATGCAGCTAAACAGCCCCACCTGCCTTAATCATGTGTATTATTCACCCAATTTATTTTCAAATGATCTTTCTTTATGAAAATAAAAATTCACTGTCAAGGATAAAGATTCTTTTGCAGATTGTGATTAAATTTCCAAAGAATGTCAGCAACATTTTATGCAGTTGTCTTTATCCTTAGAGGAAAGTGAAGACTTTTAGTCAGATTTCTTTGTAAGCATACCTAGGCTTTCCCTGTGTCAAGAAACCCTACAAAGATGAGTTTTCACAGCCCATAAATAGAACACTTTGGCTCCTATCATGTGACAGTTGCCTTAGAAGTACATTTCTTGTTGAGTAAGTTGAATTTGTGGTGAATCCTCTGAAGATCTATCAAGTGTTCCTCAAGGCTGAAATAATTCCAAAAGATACTCTAATGCCTATACTCTGGAGACAAGATAGAGGGAATGGGGAAGAGTTCTGTGGAAACACTTTGTAGATTCCCAGAAAAAAAAAAAAGGAAAGAAAATTGCTTGATTGCTTAACTTTCAGAGAAAAGCTGCTTCACTTGAGAGAATGTGTCCTTCTTTGTTGAAGTGACCCTGAAGTGGTTCAGAAGTGGTTGGTCAGCTAATATGCATTGCTCAGAATGATATCCAATATAAAGATGAAGCAAAGTAGGACCAGGAAGACATTAATTATGAAAGATTTGTATCCCAGAAAGCTTGTAACATTTTTTACAAGGTTTTTTTGGTGTGTGTGATATTTTCAACAGTTATTCCTGTTAGTATCACAGTAAACTAGCAAAAATCTGATAGTTCATTAGTGCTTTTATCACATGTAGTGCAGTTAGTATTTTCCTTATGCTCTTTCATTCCAAGTAGATCCTCTTGGAATATAGTAATAGCAATTTATTACTATAGTTTAAAATCTACTGTTGTTTTAATTATTTTAATTTTTTTGTCAGAGGGAACATGCTCTCACCAGATTGAGGAAGCATCCCTCAGTGGGGCATGGTCATGCTACAATCTTTTTTTCTCTGTTCTCCATCCCATTAGGATTTGGGGCATTATGATTGGCATGTTTTTCAATCCACCAGCTCTGGTATTCAAATCACAACTGGCCATGTGGGTCCTTGTTTCCAATGCACAGTGCATAATAAGCACTACAAGACTGGCTAGGCTGTTCATTTTATCTGGCTTAACATGGTCATTTTAATGGTCATTTATTGCACATACACACACATTTTTTAAAATTTTTCTCTATTATTATACATTCAATCGCTATACATCATTTAGATTTTAAAGAGACTTTACCTAGCATGATATACTCCTCAGATCAGCCCAGTTGAGAATACTATACACATCCTCATCAACAGATAAACTTAAAAAAAGTTTTTTTTTGTTTTTCTCGAGAAGGTCTGTTAAGTCAAGAGCCCTTCATTTGTATGGCCTAGTCCAAAGAAAATATGACCAAGAACATGGCCAAAAGTCACATTGTAGACTTCAAAGTCCCCTGAGATGCTCTGTCATGTCTATTGTAGGATTATTTTAAAGTCCTTACTTCTAAATTGATTTGCTTGTAAATATTACTGTAAGGCAAGGATTGGGTAAGGGGGGTGGTTTCTTTTACTTTTTAAAGTCAAGGTGCAGTGATCTAAGCAAATCAGTTTGGTTTACCTTGAGGTAAAAGGTAGCCTTTCCTCATAGCATCTTTTTGGAAATATAGGCAACCAGCACTGTAACTTAGGCTCCAGCCTCCAGCAATTGATGTGTATAATAACTTGAAAATCCACAAAAATTAAATGCCAGGCTCAAATGTTTATATTCCCATATTTAATCCAAAAGGGAATGAGGCTCCATGTCACAGCTTTATGCTTGTCATTTTAATCCTTGGCTCTTACGTTTATTTTTCTTGTATACTACACTTATGTGACTGGTTCTGATTTTTCCATTACCTATTACAAGGAGAGCTGATCATTCATCAGTAGCAGTTTTACCTACAGCTTTTTCTAAAGCATCACATAAATTGTTTTGTTTTGTTCTGTTTTGTTTTGTTTTCCCCCCCCCCCCCTTACACACACACATAGGTCAAAACACTGCATTATCAAATCAGAATATCTGAATCACCAAGCTATCAGGTTATTTAAAAAGAATTTTCAGATGCAAACTGAACAGTCACAAATAGGACTTTTTATTTGTCACTATTAAAAGTCTGAACTTTAAACAGATTCTTGGATTGGTGATTCATATCCATCAGCTCATTCAACTTTAGTGCCCATCTCATCTCCAGTAGCTTTTCTAGAGCTACTATCTTCACCATGAAGCTCCCCTTGAGTTTTCCCAATCAGAAGTTGGGCTTCTTCAGCATTTTTACTTTTCTGATGAAGACATCATGGAAAGATAGATTGGCAAGCCTTTCCTATGTCTTTTCCGATGTCTGGAATCAGTTTATTGACCACTTCTTTCAAGTCATTTGTCTGCACTGCCCGGGTCATGATTTCCATCATCTGCTTCCAGATTTGGTGGACCTGCTGATGCTGGGCATAAGAGGTCTTCTGTATCTGATTATTGCATTTTTTACTAAACCCAACACAGAAGAAACAGAGCAAATAACCATTGGTAGTCTTGACATCGACATGAGCTTCAATCATGGTCTGCTATTTTTGAGCACGGAGCACATTTTGTCACGGGTGAGATCCATGCCATGGAAGTGAGGCAGTTTTTGCCTTGAACATACTTAGTAATTAGCTTGAATTTCCTAAATGCAACTTCATCATTCTGCAGATGTGCAAGGCTCACTTCAAACACATGACCCTTAAAGCCATAAGACACAATTTGGTTCTTTGAGTCCTGGTAACTAGTGTTTTTCTAATATTTCTTATGTTGAGCATAGTAGGTGCTTTCAGGTCATACCAACGTGTCTTAGAAAAGGGATCAACTACTTTGTCCGTGGCTCCCTTTTTGCCACCTTTCGAAAGGTGCTTATTCTTGCCAACTGCCATGGTGCTATTCAGAGAGTCAAAAGGGGGCAACTGAACTGTTAAATATAGTCTATTGGTTTCAAGTGGTAATAAATTATACTGTTAAAAAAGAGCAGCAGTCATATAGGCCTTAACAAAGTACGTCCTAAATTCCTGAAAGAATATTATACTGTTAAAATAGAGTAGCAGTCATATAGGCTTTAACAAAGTACGTCCTAAATTCCTGAAAGACAATACTGCATGATACTACAGGAAATTCTTAGCAACAAATACCAAACTTTTGTTTATTTTTGTTGCAGGAACATTTCACACCTGAGTGCAAATTCAAAGAATCAGTATTTGAAAATTATTATGTGACATATTCATCGATGATATACCGTCAGCAGCAGTCAGGCCGAGGGTGGTATCTGGGTCTGAACAAAGAAGGAGAGATTATGAAAGGCAACCATGTGAAGAAAAACAAACCTGCAGCCCATTTTCTGCCTAAACCACTGAAAGGTAAATTTGATAATGTGGGAACTGTGAATTATGGCACCCAAATACTAATTTTTGTTTGTTTCTTTGCTCTAGGGTACATGGGCTCACTGAAGAAAGAGAAAGTGAGAGAGGGAAAGTGAGAAATTAACCCTGGAGTATGGCCACACCACAATCCTTTCTCCTCTCAGAAATTTAGGCATGCATACACATGCACCTGGCATGATTTTTTAGCCACCTGGTCTGAGACTCGAACCATAAAGTCAGCCATGGGGGATCCAGCTGCCTTAATCTCCATGCCACTTGCTGATCCCTAAAATACTAATTTAAATCAATCTTTTATCATGCTTTTGAAAATGGGGCATAATTCTTCCAGATGAAAGCATCTGTACACAAATTTATAATCATTTTATTGCACTCAGAAACATTGAGTCAATAATAAAAAAAAATTAAAACATTAAGTCATTGACTATAGCATCTACTCTCCTGATACCTTGTTTATGTGGAAGTAGCTTTATTACTAATTCAGGAAAACCAAGAACCCTAGATTATACCAAAACGATCCCTGAACAGAACATAGATATTAAAATGTATACACACTTATCATAAAGCTCCTTGAGCCCTTTGAAAGGACTCAATAATATTTTTTCAACAATATTTACTTTGATTTATTTTCCACTCATTATTAGCAGAATAAGAGAAAATTTGAAAGGGTAAGGGATAGGAGTGGACTATCCAAGATAAAGATATTAGATGTAATGAAACAAAAAAAAAAGGACAGAAAATGCAGGCAAAACAGAGGAAGATGTCAAAGATGTTATCAGCCTAGGGCTGGGGGTAAAAAAGGAGCTTAGATCAGAAAATCATGCAGTTCAAATCAGCAGAGTACTGTGTTGTTTCAGCCTGCTTTCTGGAGACAGACTACCTAGATTTGAGTGTCAATTTCACCTTTTACTAATCAGATGGTCTTGAAATGCTTTTTTACCTTTGTATGCCTCAGTTCATCTGTAAAATATGGATAACTACTTAAGCCACAGGATATTTATACATGAATTAAACAAGATAATGCAAGTGAAGAAATTAGAACAGTATCTAACATGTTATAAGTGTTCCCTAAGTATGCTAGTACTGTCATTGATTGTACAGCAATAATTTTTTTACTATGATTTGCACCAAGAATTGTGCTAATATGTAGACTCTTGGAGAGTTTCATTTTAAAGTATGATAGAAATCAGTGTTTTAGCACGTTTTAAATTTTAATATCTGGCTTGCACAGCATGCTGTAGATCATATTTAAACTTCTAAGAGCTTTATTAAATGCACTTTTCATTAATCCTCTTGTATATATCCATAAGTGATAAAAGTTAGGCATTAAAATTCTTTACACATTACTGCACCAAGAATAGGTTTTGCCTAATCTGATTCAGCCTACTCTGTACTGAATCCTTGAAAGTATTATTTTTCATGTTTTGCTTAAGGCCTAGTAAAAGGTGAGTGCCAGTTAGCATGCCCATTTTTATAAAATTTCTTTTTTTGTTGTTTTTCTTTTTTTATTTATCTTTAATCAACAAACATAAATTATATGTATTTACTGTGAACAATAAAATATTTAGAAAAATTTTATGTATTTACTGTGTACAATAAAATATTTAGAAATGCATACCTTTTAGAATGCCTGTACTGAACTAATTAACATATGTGTTGTCTCACATAATCATCATTTTGTAGTAAAAATACTTCAAGTCAGTCCTCTTAGCATTTTTTTTTGTTTGCTTGCTTGTTTGTTTGTTTTTGAGAGGTTTTTGCTATAGGGTGCATGCACTCACCAGAAAGAGAGAGACAGAGAAACAGAAAGCAAGAAATCAACTCACAGGGGGGTGGCCACGCAGCAATCCCTTCTCCCGCTCCCCTCTCGGGATCTTGGGCACGCTCGCACATGCACCCAGCATGAGTTTAAACTTAACACCGGGTCTGGATTCAAACCACGGTCGGCTACGTGGGAGTCCAGCGACATAGCCATTACGCCAACTGCTGGCCCCAGTCCTCTTAGCAGTTTCTGAGAATGCAGTAAACTAATGTGCCCATTCTGCAGACCTTTTATGCCATCTTTATGTGCTTTTCAGTGGCCATGTACAAGGAGCCGTCGCTGCATGATCTCACGGAGTTCTCCCGATCTGGAAGTGGGACCCCAACCAAGAGCAGAAGTGTCTCCGGCGTGCTGAACGGAGGCAAATCCATGAGTCACAATGAATCAACGTAGCCAGTGAGGGCAAAACAAGGGCTCTGTAACAGAACCTTACCTCCAGGTGCTGTTGAATTCTTCTAGCAGTCCTTCACCCAAAAGTTCAAATTTGTCAGTGACGTTTACCAAACAAAGGGGCAGAGTTCACTATTCTATCTGCCATTAGGCCTTCTTATCATACTAACTCCCCATAATTTATATTGAGCTTGTGCAGAAGAATGCCAAGCATTATCAGAAAATGAAATCTGGGGGAAGGACTGCCAAAATTTATCATGATCTCACCTATACTTTGGGGGTGGCAAACCAAAAATATTTCACAGCACTGATGCTGGTAAAAATTTGTTCTCCTGTCAAGAAAATTTAAAAGACCACAATTGTTCTTTAAAAACAAATAAAAAAAAGGTGAAACAAAATTAACTGCTTAAATGTTTTGTAGGGGCAAACAAAATTATGTGAACTGTGTTGTTTTCTTGGCTTAATGTTTTCTATCTATGCTTCATTCAAATGTACTCTTTACTTTGATATAGTGCAACTTTATGATTTCTGAAATTCAATGGTTCTATTGACTCTGTGTCACTGAATCCAAAACAACCAAATTCAGGGTTGAATCTGAATTGGCATCTCAGGCTCAAGGTAACAGTATTCTTGTGATTTTACCAACTTTTCTTTTTCAGATTTGTAGTATTTTGGTCAAATTCTTGTGCTGTACTTTGTGCGTAGCAATTGAGTTGTATCGTCAACCCCAGTCAGTGAAGATAACTTTCAAAAGAGTATCCTCAAGTGTAGATTTCTCTTAATTCCATTTGTGTATCATGTTAAATTATTGTCGTGACTTCTTGTGTAAAGACAGGATCTGTGGAACTGTGATGTTGTCTTTTGTGTTGTTAAAATAAGAAATGTCTTTATCTGTATATGTATGAGTCCTCATGTCATTGTATTTGGCACGTGACTACTGTGTACAAGGAAATGTTAAGACTGGTTACCCCTAAACAACATATATTATACTTGCTATTGGAAAAGTGTTTAAGACTTAGCTAGGTTTCCATTTAGATCTTCATATCTGTTGCATGGAAGAAAGTTGGAATCTTGGCATAGAGTTGCATGATATGTAAGATTTTGTGCATTAATAATTGTTAAAATCTGTGTTCCAAAGTGGACATAGCATGTACAGGCAGTTTTTCTGTCCTGTGCACAAAAAGTTTAAAAAAAAAGTTGTTTAATATTTGTTGTTGTATACACAAATACGCACCGAATAAACTCTTTATATTCATTCAAAGAAAAATTCTGGACTATGTATTTATTCAAATCTATCATGTGCCATTAACTATAGAAGAAACTGGAGTTAAACATCGAATTATATATTTGAGGTCACTGCCCTCAGTTAATCTACAGTGTAGAGATTTATATTAACATGAATGCTCTTTAAGTGTGTTTATTATACTAGTTATTATACTTGGGCTTTGGATCTATTGGAACAGATTGGTTCTCATTCCTATTCAGTGATTGAATTATATAAGTGAGACCAATGTTCTGTTGGGTTGTTGGAAAAGTCCTGACATATTTTTCTATGTAAAAATGTGTCATGACTTTTCTGGTGACCCAGTAGTATTCTCTCTACTTCACTGTATCATTTCCCCTCTTCGTTGATTATTTCTCTCCTCTGTAGAAGGGACACACAGGACTAAATATCTAAAGTTATATCCAACTCTGAGAGCTGAAGAAAAATGTAAATATTCTTTAAAGTTGATGACTTTTCTCTTGCTCCTCAAAGTTGCAGTGTCCTGGCAAGGAATGTTTTGGGAATAGTCAGTATATGGAAAGAAGGGTGGAGGAACAGGTAAAACGTAATTGGCTGGTCAAATGAAATTAATTATTGAATAAAGTTACTGGGACTCCAAACAACATACTTTTGCCAGGAGAGGAGGCTGCCCATTCCTAAGATATTTGGACCATTCAGCAAGAGCTCAGTCCAGCCCACTCACCTTGACATTGTGTCTTAAGCCCTCTTCATCCTGCCTTACCCTGTCTGCGTCCCAAAACACATCTACATGAGGTATGACCACCAGCTGTCTTAGACTCAAGAGCCTTTATACATGTTCTAAACACTAGTAGACTCTCACTCAGTTCCCCTCCCATTAAGTTTGACCAATATTCAGTCAATAGAGAAAAGCAGCACATTGTCCCCTTCTTACATCAAGAATTTTAAGGTTTCATTATAGACTACCCTGGTTGCTGGTCTTGCTTTTCCATTGTTCAGGAATAGTGTAGGTCTGCTGGTAATAAATAATTCAGTACTTTTGTGTCTCAGGAGAGCCTGGTCTAAACAAGAAAAAATCAAAAGACCCAGAAAGAACCCTTCACTCCCAGCATTCTTTTTGAATAGTCTCAAGTTGATTTTTTAACAGATAGGGTATTTAAATCAATCAATCAATAGTCCTCAAAAACCCTCCCTACAAGTGATGATACTAACACTGTCACACATCTTTATTAAACACACACTTTGGTAGCATTCATCATGGCAGGAAATAGCAGTCTTGCCATATTCTTTATGAAAGATAAAAAGATTCCTTTAGTCAGTTGTGGAAAATACTGTAGACACTATAGGTCATCGGATTTCAGCACACATCAGAATCACCTGGAAGGCTTGTAAGATTCAGCTTGCTGAACTCCACCTATAGAGTTTCTGATTGAATGGGTGGTGGGTATATTTCCACCAAAATGTCAGGTACTACTGAGACTATTGGTCCTGGGCAACTACACTTTATGAACCACTGGCATATAATGGTTCCTTCTTGGGGGTTTAAAGTGTGCATTGGCACACTAAGTTATAAAAATCCCCCTGTTAAAGAGATCTGCTTAACTTTGAGAAATCCTAAGATGGACAAACACTTGGGCACAATGCCATATGTTCACCAAGCTATTAACACTGCAGTAGACAGTGGGCCTCAAACTTTCTGTGGGTACCTGAATCACCTATGGTGTTTTTTATGCTTTCATAATTTTAGCCTGGCCTGTGAATCTCCTGAATCTGATCCCTACCACAGTTTCAAAACAACTAGTCTATGGTATAACAATCTCATGTTGCCATCACTACTTGTGAATGTATAGCCAATAATTACACTGTAATTAGCTTAGGGTAGAAAAAAAAAAAAACATTCTTTAAACAGCTTACAATTCTTTGAAAGCAAAACAAGCTCCAGGTTTTTTTCCTTGTGTTTTGTTTGTATTTGTAGAGAATGATGCTCACTGCCACACAATCCCTAAAAGATTGAGAAGGGATCTGTGGTACTCCTCTGCTCCTTCAGCAACACATTGTCGCAGTCCCAAGCCAGTCATTTGGGCTTTTTTTTTTTTTTTTTTTGGAGAGGTTTTTGCTATAGGGTATGTGCGCTCACCAGACAGACAGAGAGAGACAGAGAGACAGAAAGTGAGAAATCACCCCCCAGGGGAGATGGCCACGCCGCAATCCCTTCTCCTCCATTCTCCTCTCGGGATCTTGGGCATGCACACACATGCGCCTGGTGTGAGTTTTAAACCACCGGGTCCGGGACATGAACCGTGGTCGACTACATGGGAGTCCAGCAACATAGCCATTATTCTAACTGCTGGTCCCCATTTGGGCATTCTTGAAGGATTTTTTGAAGATCTCAACTACACATTTTCTACTTTTACAGGCTTCTACTCACTGTTCAAGTGCATACATAAGAGAAAAATGAATACCTAATCTGATCATCTCTCCAGCTCCACCAGTTGATTATAACTATTCTGTTGATAAGAGATGAGGTATGGTAAGATTAGAACTGCTGATTATTTTAAATGTTTCATATAACTGTGCCTTAGAAGCCTCATTTAACTGAAGTATGGCATTCATGAGTTAAATCGGAATACACCCTCATTGACAGTCTTTAAGGAACACTCATACTTTTACTGACAGCCTTAGAGATGATCTACACTTTATTATGCTTCTCGAAACTCTTTCAATTCCTATTCCAAGCCACTTCCACATTTCAAGTATGATTACAGCAGGACCTCACTTGCCAGTAGCAAAATCTGCACAGGCATATGGAAGTGGCATAGTAGATGACTATTTTGACAAAAACAAAGAAAAAACATTGAACCGTAGTTAGGGCAATCCACTGGTATCCCAAATTCTAAACCAAATTTACGATGACAACTTTTCATGCCTTTCATTGCTCTAACCACAAAGATGTGGTCCCATGATCACACTTGCACTTAGCTATGCTGGAATGAGAACACCTGGCTGCCGCGCTGGCTTGTTTTATTGCCGTGGATGTGCCCGTTCTCCCTAATGATTGAAAATGCTAAAAACAAGGGTACATTCAAAAGGTTATGTCTCTAATTTTGTACAGCTCTTTAGCTTCAAAAGAGGAGAAACGAAAAGAAAAACCCAAACTTAGATGAAACACCACTGGGGAGTAGGTTTTCTATGAACCATCATATCCTGGGTCATCTTAATCTCTAAACATCGTGCCACTTATTTTAAAGGTTGCTTTGAATCTGTGAGCACAGAGAACAACAATCTAAGCTGAAACAATCAGCCCTTTTACTGATATCACGTGAGTACAGGTGTCTGGTATTTCTCATATTTACCCCAATTAAAGAATGCAGAAAAATATATGGCATTGTGTGGGGAATGTTTCAATTTCTATTTGGGAATGCTTTTTTTTTTTTTTTTGCTATTTTTGTCTCACTATAGAGACTGAGAGACAAAGAGAAAGAAAGTGGGAAATCACCCCACAGGGAGGACAGCCACACTACAATCCCTTCTCCTCCATTCTCCTCTTCGGATTCTGGGTATACACACACACACACACACACATACACACGCTTAAAACTGTTACCGGGTCTGGGATTCGGAATTGTGTTAGACTAAGTGAGAGTACTGTGATGTAACAATTACGCCACCTACTGGTCCCAAATTTGGACCTTCTTGAAGAGGTTTGTAACAGTTACAATTCTGTTATGTAGGAAGTCTCCTGGAACACACCACATGGATGATATTCAGTTTTAGAACTGTAAACCAATTAGCCAAATATCAATCCACTGTCTTCCTTTCTATGAGTTTTTGTTTCAAACACTCCACTTCTCTTTCACACACATGTGTGAACACACATATGTAATTGTGCCTTTAGAAGGACTCAGAGATGCTCTGTTCCTTTGAGAGGATGACCACATGCCTCCTTCTGAATAGAAGGAAGACTGGAACAGCCAAGTTAGAAATTCGAGACTCTTTGGCTTCTGAAATTGTCTTGCCAGCTAAGATACTTCTGCACACTACGGAATATTGCCCAGGTTTGTCTCACAGCACGTTAGCATGTCTGCACATTTTGTGCTCTAATAAGTGTGTACATTCTTAAATAATTTGCTTTCAAAGCTCAATACAGTTAACAATTATAGTAAGAGAAGTCTACGGGGTAATGATTGAGTAAAAACTCAGCTCCTTTGAGTCAACTACTCTGCTAGTTGGAACCACAGATATTTATTACCTTATAAACTGTCAATGCTGCACAGCATGTTACTGAGGCCTGATAAAGCATTCACACAAAGATAAATAGGTTGAAACAGAGTCAATTTTGTACAAAAATTGATATTCTGGGGTTTAGCAACAGGGAAACTTTCCTTACTGGGATTAATAAAGTGGAACTCCTACTAGAAGCAGCTATTCAATTTACATTCTTCACATAGGTAAACATCTCTATCACTATGACCCTTGGACAAACTGCTTGATTACAATCCAGGTGTTCTTCAAAAAGTTTAAAACTAACATGAACTGGCTATACTGTAGTTCTCCCATCAATGGAAAACAGCTGAACAAAACAGCTTAAACAATGTTTGGATTTCATGGGTTTTAAGAACATTGAAGGAAAGTATCACCATTACACTTACATCATATTGGGCATCTAGAAAATATTAATTAACCTAATGTAGTTGAACAATGAGAGGCAGAGCCCCTGGTATGCACGTGATGTTTGAGACAAGTAAATTCACTGCAACAATTTCATTCCATTATATCTCTTTGCCGAAAAGAGATTATGATCCACCTAGGCCAGGAGAATTGTAGTGTCTCTAAAACCAAGCTGCTCTGTATGTTGTAAAACCCAATGAGTAAATTATTCAGTAGACAAAACTGGAGGAAGTAGCCTACAAAGTGTGATTCACAGTCTTGCCTATGTAGTGGACTGGCCTTATGAATTCCTCCTTCTCTTCTGTTGAACAATCTGTACTTTGCCTACTCTAAAAAGAATTCCTC